TTCTCTGCTCCTGGATATTAAATAAACTCACTTAGTACATAGTTATGATGAGCAAGAGTTCCTCCTCCAAAATTGTGAATTTCATGGCCCCAGGGTCAGGGGTTCTGGTGTTAGGGCGGGGCTTTATTGATTATATAGAGAAAATGCATAAATTCTTTCGAAATCTTCTAATCTGCTCCTGGGTAATATTCAAACAAGGGAAGTGCATTTTTATGATAAGGAAGAATGCCTCTTCCAACATTGTGGAATTCATGGCCCCTGAGTCAGGGGTTCTTATGAAGGGGTGGTGGCTCTATTGATTATATAGTGGAAATGCATAATTTGTTTCAAATATTTTTTTTTTACTACTGGTTATAAAGCAAAGAAACAAGTGTATAGTTATGATGAGTAAGGGTGCTTCTTCCAGAATTGTGAGTTCATGGCCAATGGGTCAGATGTTCTGGTATAAGGATGGGGTTTTATTTATTTAATAATATAGTGAAAATGCATTTCTTTGAAAATCTTCTATGTTTCTGGGCATATCCGAGGCAAACAGAGTAAAAGTTTTAATATGCATATTTTTACCAGAATTTTGAACACCTGGACCATTTAGTCAAGTGTTCTGGTCCTGGTCAGGGCTCTATTAACTTGTATTCTGCTGAGCAAAGTTATTCCCCTTTGCCATTCACCTTTGATAATTAATCACTGTAAATAATGTATTTGAATAATAGAATAGAATTTATAGAATAAGAGAATTATGTAAGAATATTTATTGTATAATACAAAAAGTACTTTCATAGTTTTAATAATCAGGTAGACTTCGAAATAATACATGAATAAAAATGAGACAAAAATAACTTTTTAAATGTTCTTCAAAGGCCAAGAGAGGCCTATGTGAGAAGTAATAATATGGGGTTAGACAATTTGTATATAGTCTGCATGGTATTAGTGATAATTGGGGGACAGATGGATACTAGACCAATTAATTTGGTGATGCTAATCATACTATTTTTTCTTGCTTTTGGGCAACAAAGATTCATTTATCAGTTTATGGATCCTCTAAATTGTTGTATTGTACTCAATCTATATTTTTTTCCTGTATGTACCTAGATTAAATTAAGTTAATGTACTTAGCAACATTATTTTATGCTACTTATGATCAGTTACCTTGATATTAATTATCATAACAACATTAAATTCCATGATATGCGAGAACTTTCCTCTTTAATTAAGAAAGAGAGAAAAGATAATATTTTAACAAGTTAATTCAAAGTAAATCTACAAGAACTGTTTAGTAAAGGCTAAATTAGACACCATGTGTTGTGTAAAATTTTGACAATATCGATCGTGTCATGAACGAAAAATTGGACATTATAATAGAAATCTGTGATATTTTCAGACATAGCACAAGTATATTTGGTGGTCAAACGAAAAAATATATATATAGAAAAAGGCCAATGAGAAGTGGCGAATAACTCGTAAAGCAATATGCTCGAAGTATTTGGATCCGCGCCCAATTTCATACAAGCAGTTATGTGTGTTGTGGACAAACGTTCTCATAAAATCATTATTATATAAATATTTTATATAAAAAGAATCCTCTATGCACATTTGAAAGAATATGTAATCAAATATATATATACCAATATTGGCATTTACAATGTGAAAATTTTGTATAAGATCGTTATGTAGATGTTTACAGTAATAGAAAATAAAAATAAAATCCGCCAACCACCCCGATTTTAAAGCAATTTAAGACGAACTTTAAAATTTATGTGGCCTTAAGGCCAAAAGCTCAAAGGTCAAGGTTGGCCTTTTTTCTTTCTCCATCTGCAAAATTTTACCATTTCTTCCACCCTCTTCTTTTTTCCTTTAGCGGGGGGCACAAATTCTCTAAATTATTTTTTTTAATTTGATGGTGTGATTGGCAAGGAAAAAAATATTTCCACCATTTCAAGGTATTCTACTTGTGTTGTACAAGGATCCCAGTTGATCTGCATGATCCACAACATTCATGTACAAGTTGTATTTTTTTCACTTTCTGGTAGGGCTGAGTATCGACTGGGAATTTTGTATTGCGATATATTGCGATATTTTAAACTGTATTGCGATATGTATTGCAATATTTTCAACTACAGTTAAAATGCTCCTTTTCTTATTTTATTAACTATAAAAAGAGTGTGTAAAACTATTATTGTGACAAAAAAGTTCTTGTTAATTTCACTATAGTTTTTTTTAACGAAATGCAACCAATGCAACCATACAATAGCAACATTACCGTTTGGTACTCTTTGGCACGATTGAAAACGTTTCTAACCTATTAAATTTCATATTTTACTTAAGAAATCTAAAGCCCAAGCAGTTTGCCGGTATATCAGTACTGGAAAAACGTATCGCAATAAGATATTTTTTGTTAAGGAATCGCAATATAGCGGAATATCGATATTATTGCGCAGCCCTACTTTCTGGACGAGAACATTTTAGGTCCTTCTTCCTCTTGCTCACAGATGTAGCATCATCTCATTCCACTGTTATGTGGAGAATAGTGATGTTCTTATATTTCCCCAAATAGATACATATTCCCCTCTGCCTCTAGTGCCTCTTCAAAACTGTGAAAATTGTTACCCTGGGGTCAGGGGTTCTACAGGAGGGGAGGGCTTATTGATTATATAGTGAAAATGCATTATTTCTTTGAAAATCTTCTTCTGTGCCCCTGTATATTTTTAAAGCTAAAACACCAAGTATATAGTATGATAAACAAGGGTGCCTCTTCCAAAAGTGAATTCCATGGCCCCTGGGTCAGGGGTTCTGGTGTTAGGGCGGGACTCTATTGATTAAATAGTGAAAATGAATTTATTCTTCGAAAATCTTCTCTGCTCCAGGTTTTATAGTAGATATACTAGGTGCATGGTATGATGTTGATTATATAGTGATAATGCTTCATTTCTTTGAAAATCTTCTTCTCTGTCCCTGGATATTTAGTAGACAAACTTATTGCATGGCTATGATAATCAAGGATGCCTTTTTAAAGAGTTTGAAATTCATTACCCACTGAATCAGGGGTTTTAGTGTAAGGGTAGGCTCTTCTGAATATATACTTAGTAAGAATGCATTATTTCTTTGAAAATCAAAGCTTCTTTTCTGCCCATCGGTATTTAGCAAACATTCTAAGTGCATGGTAATGATGAGCAGGGAGGCCTCTCCCGAACTTGTGAATTTTTGGCCCTAGGGCCAGGAGCTTAAGTGTTAGTGTGGGGCTATGTTGAATCTATAGTGAAAATGTATTATTTTTTGATAATCTTCTCTGCTCCTGAACATCTAGGAGGAAAAAGAGTATATGAAGTTGTATTAGGTAAGGGTATTTATACCAGATTTTTGAAATTCTGCACCACTGGGTCTATTTATTAATTTGTGTTCTACTGAAAGAAGTTTTTTTTCCCTTTGCTATTCATCTATGATAATTAATCACTGTAATAAATGTGATTAAAAGATCAATTGAATAACAGAATTATACAAAAAAAAATTATAATATTTAATACAAAAAGTACTTATACAGAAATTTTTATAATATTTAATACAAAAAGTACCTTCATAGTTTTTCAATGGTCAGATAAACTTTTAAATAAAAGATAAAGAAGAATGAGACAAACATGCCATATCTTTGTACATTAAATGTTCTTCAAAGACTAAGAGTGACCAATGTGAGAGGGAATGAGATGGGTAAAAATACTAATAGTGCTAAAGAACTATTGTTTCGTTTAGCCAGCACGAGGATAGTGACAAATGGGGGCATGTACGGGCAAGAATATCGATCAAATTTAGGATTTGGTATTGAGCACCAACTTATTTTGTGAATCACTGATCATCCTATTTATTTTGCTTTTGGGCAACATAGTTTCATTTATCAGCTTATTTGGTTTATTTTATATTCAATCTATGGATCCTTCAGAGTGTTACATTATACTCAGGTGACCGCTAAGGCCCGTGGGCCTCTTGTTAGTTGTTACAAAGGTAACATCACCTCCATTGTTTCTGTGGAGAATGTTGATGTTCTTGATACATTCCTCGAAATAGATGAAGTTTAAGGTTTCAAATTACTAGTGTTTCTATTATGATAAAATCTTTAAATACGGCACAATGAGGAGCATTCTAGGAAAAAAATTTGGGAGTGGTAACATCTAGCACCCAATATTCCAAAAACCCGGAGTCTTTTTTTTACATTGATTATCGTTGAGGAGGTTTAGGTATTTTTTTTCCGAAATTTTCACCCATATATTTCCAGTTTGTGAAAAATACTGAATAACACATGAACTTGCATTGTTTGCAAAGTCATTCTTTGATATCATGTTGAATTATTACCACAACTGCATGGCTTTATGCCCTGTTCACACGGAGAGTTTAATTCGCAGTAAATTAATGCGAAGTAAAATGATGCGAATTAAACTAATGCGAATTAAATTGCCTTCACACGACAGCTAATGCGAAGTAAACTAATGCGAATTATAATTTTATTTCTACAACAAGGCTTTTCGGTGAGGCTATTATGACGTCATTTACAAATCACGTCATATTGTGCAGAGCAGGTATACATTTGACATAATGTCATAGTGTCTGTACACATTTTAGTGATTAACATAATTTTCCTTTGTTTTCCACTCAAAAATAGCACAAGTACCTATATTTGACTATCGGCATGTGGCCTGTGACTTAATTCTGCCCTTACGCATGCGTCAAAATTTAATTCGAATTAGCTTCGCTTAGCGTTCACACGGAGCTAATGCGAAGTAATTTAATGCGCAGTAAACTAATTCGAATTAAACTAATTCGCATTAAATTCTCCGTGTGAACGCGGATCAAATTTAATTCGCAGTAACTTACGTTTAATTCGAATTAAACTCTCCGTGTGAACAGGGCATTATTAATATAAAATACAAGTATGTGAAACTGGGAAAATTTTGTCTGTGCATTAATGTTTGCACACTTCTGGAAGAAAATGAACATATACAAACAACAAAATTAAATTTAGTATCACCATTTTTTTTATTTTACGCTAGAACAACACATAATGTACAAAACATTAAACGCTGGCTGCCCGTCTAAGTATGATGTGCCTACAAAAGGAAAAGAAAAACCATGGATTTTTGAACAGTTACTAAATTCTCGAACACTTTTGTCAATTTGTACTATCAAGAGCCTTGGGCAGATCAAGGTTTTTTATTTTTTGCAAGAGGGTGGGGTGGGGGGGGGGGGGGTGGGTGTAGTTACATTTCACACATGAAAATTTTTTGACAAGCAACAAAAAAAAAATTAAAAAAAATTTAATAAAAATAAACAACTTGACCAAACCTGGAAAACCTATTTCGTATTTGTGTGGAGGGGGGGGGGGGGGTGACACTTTCCTAGGTCTACTCTTCAAAAGTCAACTTTCTTCAAACCAGGACTATCCTTACTGTTTTAAGAGGGGTCCGTGTTTCCGAGGGGAGGGGGTTCCAATGTCATTTTTTCGTTACTTTCACATAAAAATATAGTAACTCCAGGAGATTCGCCCCCTCCCCCTCTAGATTTGCGCCTGAGTGTCAGTCTTTGAACAGGATGTTTACAATATTGAAGATTCCTACATGTAATCACGTTAAAGACACAGGATTCATAAAAGAAAACTTCCTATGATTATGCTTCTCAGCATATCTTTATATAAATAAATATTTATCTTTATATAAATAAAAAAATAAAAATTTAAGGAATGAAGCTTATTTTAACCTATGTTATACGATATAACATAACTTGGGACAGATTACGCTTTTTTATAAACCGCTTCGCGGTTTATAAAGCGTAAACTGCCCCAAGTTATGTTATATCGTATAACATAGATTAGAATAAGCTTCATTCCTTATAATTTAATTTCAGTGTAGACAATAAGACCAATTTTTCCTCCAAAAATGGCTTCAAATTGAGCATATTTTATAAGTAACGTCAAGTGAAGTGATACGTTTTTGACGTAACTCATTGTGACGTAGGCAACTTATGTTATACGATATAAACGAAATCTTTTATCCAATCAAATGATGTGTTACAACTAAAATTAAATTATATACACATATTCAAAAGCAAAGTAAACGCATAGTCTAAGAATACAGTGACGTCACAGAGTAAAGATTGTAATTACTTACAGTAAGACTCTTCATTTTACACCTTTTTCTGTCCCCCCGACTTTCCACAGGATGCACATCCGCTCCCGGCCTTGGGGCTGTGGTGTGTACAGGACTTGTTCTTGCATTGTATGACTCCACATTTGTCGCACTTGAAAGCACTTCCTCCGTTTTTGCATCCTGGACAAGCCATTGCACACTGTAGATTGAATGTGCTTTGAAAATAATTTCTCACGGAGTCTTTTGGATAGGAAATTGTTTCTTATATACCAACTTACCAAGCGAAGAAAACAAGTTTTTTTTAAGGAATGAATTTAATAGCTACCCATTTTATACGATATAAACTGGGTTGGGGCAGTTTACGCTTTATAAACCGCTTCGCGGTTTATATAAAAGCATAAACTGTTCCAACCCAGTTTATACCGTATAAATTGAGTAGCTATTAAATTCATACCTTATAATTTAATTTTCATTCATTTGGTGTAAGAAATCCTTTAAAAATGACTTCAATTTGTACAAAATTTGAATGTAACGTCAGGCGGATCGATACGGTTTTGACGCAAGTCATTGTGACGTATGCAACCCATTTTATACGATATAAAGTAAATTTTTTATCCAATCAAATACAGCGTTACAACCAGAATTAAATTATTCCCATTTGGAAACTCGTTTTCTTTTCCAGAAAATATTTTTAATTTTCAAGAATTTATCTTGTAATAGTATCAAGAATTTTAAAACTATTATCTTTATAAGGTAGTATCAAGTGACGTCACATATTGCTGTTTGGAATAATTATAAATACAACAATTTATATATACTTCTGTCAAATAACGACCAAAATGTAATATTTTGATACCTGATGATAAAAATGATAAGTCCACTATCTATGGACTTTTAAGAAAAAGAAGATATATCTCTTAAATGATCTCTTCATATAGAAAAATGTCCTCATATGCATGCTTCTTACCTTTGATTTAGTTCACTTCGTCAATAGCAATGCTTAGGTATCTTTATACTTAGCTATATATACTTCCCGCCTCTGTGAAAAACTTTGGTTCGTTTGCAAGAATGTCAATTTACTTCTAATGTTACTACGAATGTGTACTACGGAGGACAATATTGGAAATAAAGAGACTCAGACAGTCATATTAAATAAAATAAGGTATATAATGTACTCATATTTACATTGTTTTTTTCCCAGTAGTTTTTCACGAAATAAAGTCATAGTGGAGGAGGGGTAGGGAACCATTCCCTCCATGTAGGTTACGAAAAGAACCAAACAAACTATATAGATCAATAAAACATTAAAAAGCATTGTTATATGCGCATTACCTTACCCTGGCAGTTATCAGTTTGATAATTTACAAGAAGTGAAGTTTCCAAATTTACTTTGGCTAATTCTATATTTTCCCCATAATTAATAAAACTACCATTTCATACCTGGCGAACAAGTTATATATATCATTATCTATTTATGAAATTCAGCACACTGATATTCTTTACTGATCAAACATGCACAGTGCATGTTCTGAGTACGATCAATTTTCAAACAGAGGCAGACTACTGACAAATAAGTTGATGTTACAGAGTCTTCAAACATCTCGTTAAAATTCAGCAAGAACTTCTATGGTGGTTATGATGACCTTGTAAAACCTATATCGTCGGGTCATGTTTGGACTGACGTTTCCCACCAATTTGTTAGGCCATTTTAATACCATCTAGACTACGGATTACTTCTTTTACTTAATCAATAGAGAGGGCTCATTGCGGGTGTGACCGGTCGACAGGGAATGCTTACTTCTCCTTGACACCTGATCCCACCTCTGGTGTTTTCAGGAGTCTGTTTTTCACTGGATTTATAAGATTGATCACTGTACGTTATCTTATTTACTTTTATGCCATAAAACAGCTTTGTAATTAAATTTAACAGTGTTTCACACGGTGGTTAAAGAAATGGGGATGTTGGTGTTATGTTTCACAACCACATCAGTTGATTTACCTTTCTGATTTCCTATCGTAATATCTTAAGACTATCTGGCCCTGGGATCATGAAACATTTTAAGCTTCATTAAAAAAAAATGTATATTGAGCTGAAATGATTTGAAGTCAAGCAGTCTAAAATTAAAATGCTTTTTAACTTTGCAGCAATAGACTATTGTTGTATGCATATTTATTAGGGATGGCAACGAATATTCGAACATTCGAATATTCATTCGATGAGTTGATATTCGAATATGAATTCAAGATTCGAATGTTCGGTGTTTTTCAGATTTCATAAAAAGAATTACTGTGATTAATAAATTTTGATTTGAACAGTGATGGAATTATCCCTGTTTAATTTACTAGCGATCAATTTCGATCGCCTGATTTCTTTCACTACTTTCTTATCTTTTAGATCTACTAAATTACATGTATTTTGTTTTGAGTATGGTGTTAAAGAATTGTACAATAATGCTTTATGTATAATACAAAATGTACTTTCATAATTTTTATTAGTTAGATATGATCGGATCTAGAATCGAGGACAACAAAATGAAATCTTAGAATGTCTCAAAGGCGTAAAGAGTATAAATTGATTGATAATTGAATGAATGTCCGATAGAATTAGTCTGTAATAATATTGTAAAGGGCTTAATTTCAGAATAAATGTGTTAATTACTTGATTATCTCGGGGTATAGATAATCCTGAATTTTATATTCATTATCGGGAAATTAGTAATTGTCTATGGAAATATTTGTTTACGTTGTATTAAAGATTATAATCATATCTCTTATTAGGCAGATAATTGTAATTTATTACACGTATTGAAATCTGAACAGTATACCGTTACTATCTTGCCTTTGGGAAGACGACTGGTTCCTCCGTTGGAGCTACTATAAATTCACGTTTCATTTGTTAAAATTATACTTTTCTACATTTAAATCATATATTTATTTCAAACATTGACAAATATCAAATGGAATTTCTTATTGTACACCTACAAAAGGCTTCATACAATTTTATTTCCGATATAAGTATACCTACGCTAAACCTTTCATGAGAGTAGGATGATCCATATTTAAAATAAAACAGATATAACTAATTTTATCGAATATTCGAATGTATTCGAATACTTGCATTGAATATTCGAATATGAATTATAAACAAAATTGACATCCCTAATATTTATAATTTCAGTTCAGAAGTAATAAACATTTTACATATGATTGAAATTCTGACTTAAGTCTAAGTCTATTTCATGAATGTAAAAATCATCAATTCGTATTTTTTTTAAACAGTTAAGATCTTAATGTCAACAATTCATGTGCTTTAGGGATTCCCATACTTTATGCGTTTGTAAACAAACATTATTACTATAGGAACGCGTCCAAAAAATAGGCTTAATTCACCATGGTCTTTAAATTGTATATTTAGAAAATTTAAAGACCCGTAGTCAAAACCAGTCAAAACTAGTTTTTGGACAGGTTCCTATTGTAAGAACATAATAGAAATGGTGACATTTAATTAGTAAGATCTCAATTAACTATCTGAACATTTAAAATCGGTCAAGTGAATATAGTAACAATTTTTAAAAACAAATATTGAATGTTTAAATCTAGGTAACTATATCATTTTGTAAGGCTCGAATTAAAATTTATGTGAGAAGTCCAAAAAGCCATTTATGGTGCTATACAAAAATTTAGACATTTTAAAGTATCAATAGAGTGACAGCGTAATTTTTTTTTCATATCTCATTGGGCAAAATTACCGATAAGTCCTAAATGGAATATAAGAGTGTCTGTGTTATATATTATGTAAACAAGCATTCTGAGAGTATTGCATTAGCAATACTAGTCCCCTACCGGCAAGTGTAATCTGGTTCCCGTTAAGAATTGAAAATGCCATAATTCCGTCAAAAATTAATGAAGCGGGACGAAATGCAAACTTGATCTATAACTAATCAAGGTAAAGCCACATACCAAAAATCAGCTCAATGTCTACAAGCGTTTAGAAGAAAATTGCGGAAAACCCGTAAAAATTGAAAAGGCCGTAATTCCGTCAAAAATCAGTGAAGCGGAACGAAATGCAAACTTGTTCTGTTACTCATCAAGATACAGTCACATACCAAAAATCAGCTCAATATCTGCAAGCGTTTAGGAAAAAAAGTGCGGAAAACCAAGTGGGACAGACTGACAGACAGACAGACAGACAGACGGACGGACAGACTCAGAGGAAACCTATAGTCCCCTCCGGTTTCACCGGTAGGAGACTAATAAAATATATTGACTTGTGTGGGTCCTCAAACGTATTCGTCTGAAGGTAGGATATATTCTATCTTCAAAAACAGATTGGGATTTGAAAAAAAAATATTTATAAGTACCCCCAAAATTTAGAACATTTTTAAATAAAATTTAGAAGAACAAATCATTGTCTACCAATGGAGACTGTGAGATGGTGTGGTCATTCACTTAAGAAATGAATTTCATTTTTGAAGTTGAACTACGACGCTTCACGCCGGTGTAAAGACGAATAATGACCCCCGTAGAATAATGACCGGTGTCGCATAATATTTGGTCCGCCTCGTTTAAAGGTCCGGGGGGGACCTAATACGATAACATATAAGGTCCGGCCTGCCTCTATAATAAAAGGTCCGCCTTCGGTTTAATATGCAGATTTTTCTCCTTTATTGATTCGAAATTAATTTGCTTTATTAATCTTTTTAAATCATTTAAGGTATAGTTGTTATAAAAGTGTCCTTCCCAGCAAAATGGAGTTCCAGGGACGTACATGTATGTACATTGTATATATACTAAAAGGATCAAGTCTTGCGATATCTCGCTAGTTGCTGGATTTCGTTAGCCTATTTTAATTAATTATATTTCTAATACTATGATATATCTCAGTACAAAACCTCAAATTATCTATCAAAAAATTATTCAAAATTTGATGTTAGCACTGATTAACTGTTAGCTCCTTATCGTAGTACATACCTCCCAGGTAGTGCACAAAACAAAAAATATAAAGATGCAAAGATCTGTTGATCGAGTTACCTTATGGGAAAATCATGTACGACATGTGTCTTTTATAGTTTAAGTGATATCAATATTATCATTGCAAAATAAAAAAAAAAATACATATATATATAATACGCATACCTTCACTGGCACATTGTTCAGTATATGGTGTTCGTAAGTCCAACAATGATCAATTCATTACAGTCTCTTTCCTAACAACGTTCGACTTCCACATCCCAAAAAGAATTTTCATATCTTTCGAAAGATATTTCATTATATCATTAATAATAATTATGCATAATTTCTTACGATTCATATTGTACCTAATTATAAAATAATTGGAGGGTCACTTTGACAGGGACTTGTGTTACGGTGTACTAGCCTATCCCGTTGTTGTTAAACAACATGTCTGTGCTTTGGGGGGTAGGCCAATTGTCTCACCTGACGAAACTTGAAGTCGCATATCCCCCGTGTTTTTATAACCATCGTTTCTTATCCAGTTAAAGACTAACGATTATTTCATTCTACTTGATATTACCCCGGGGTTAACACTGGTTAAGGAAGATGTGCATTAATTGGCAAAATCAAACCAAAGTCAATCGAGTTGAACATTTTAAGCAATAAAACACCCCCTCCCCCAAAAAAGGAAAAGATTATAAATGGTGTTGTTGTATTTTTGGTGGGTGGGGTATAGCAAAATTATGCTGATACATGTCAAATATTTTAAAAAGTACTGATGTTGTAGACTTTCCTCCCGCATTAATATTTTTTCCCGGAAAAACGAGCTTGGGTTTAAAGACCCCTCCCATTTTGGAAAATGAGCCTAGCATAGGATTTTATTTCCGGAATTTTTTTTTAAAATATTGTTTATTTCATTCCCTACATTTTGTAGTTTTCATTTCTGACGTTTTAAAATTTTCATCTCTGACATTTATCATCATAAAGTACTTTTCCGGCAATGAAAACAAAATTGAAATTTCCCTTATAAAAAAAATAAAGAATAAATCAAGAATAATTCATTGATT